CTAGGGCGCGGATTTTTATGTAAATACATATTTTTATTGAATGCAGATATCATTGTCCTGATTAAAAATAAGCACGTTTCATAACACCCTGAATAAAATGACAATTTTTTATGTTACATATTTTCACATATTTCATATTTTATAAATGTAGGTGCTTATTAAATGTCCAGAAATGTTAAAAATTAACCATCTATCGACTTTATCGACGTCGTAAATATTGATTACGACTTTTGATGTACTTATTAAATTTCCAGAAATGTTAAAAATAACCATTTATCGACTTTATCGACGTCGCGCGTCGTAAATTTGATGTCACCATATCGGTTAGTGTTAGTATTATTCAGTCTGCTGTTGTGCGTGTATATTTATTTGTTTCGCGTTCGTACGTGTTTTTTTACGTTATAAGTGAGTTTATATTTGTTTAATTGTGCCTGTGCGTGTATAACACTGATAAAAAATATGCCCAAAATTCCTTCAACAAAAAAAGCAAAAGTAGCTCAATACTTTTTAGAATTCCCTAATGAAACTTTTAAGAGTGATGGGCACGTGTTACTTTGTGTAGCTTGTGGACAATCTGTATCTTGTTTGCAACGTTCTTTAATAACTCAGCATATAAACACATCAAAGCATAAAGAAAATAAAGTGAGGAAAATTAAATTCAATCAGAATTTCATCACCTCTTCATCTTCGAATAGTAAGTCAACTTTTGATACCGATTTATGTAGACGTGCGCTAAGAAAGGATTTTTCGAAATTCGCATTTTAAATAGGTGCTCAAACAGGGACATTGAGATTCAAGATAGAAATTGGAAATTTTATTTTTATTTATTAATAGTTACCATTGGTTACAGTCTACATTAGAAATTAGCATTTATTTATTGGTTGCCATTGGTTATTCGGGCAGATCAGGTACAAGCTTGCATCAAATCAAATTATTGAACATTTCCTACCAGAGTGGCTGAGTTGCACTTACCCCAGCAAGTTACACCCAAAAGGAGTTCAACAATCATAATTTTTTAAGAGTTGTGATTTTTTACGAGCAACCAAATTTGTTATATGAATAATTAATGATCAATTATTATTTATTTTTATTATTATTATTAGTATTCACTCACAAATCTATTGTCTGGATAAAAACAATACTACAAACAATTACCCATCGATCTGTCGAATAAAAATATAAAAATAATAATAAAACTATCAATAATAAATAATTCCGGATACTTCTTCTCATTTTTTAAATTAATTAGGTAATATTTTTTTCTTTCTTTTTCACTCACTCACGTGTACCATTCAAAAGAAGTTTAACTTCCCGCGCGCGTACTGGTAACACACATGGTTTTTTTTTATCGCCGTGTTTTTTCCTCGTACACACACGCGCCCGTACTCTGCTGTACGGCCATACACAACACCTTCGGGGATATCGGATAGTGAGTATATACGCATATTATATATATTTATAATATATATTTTATAGTGAGCTTATAGGTGATCGAGAGAGGCGGCGGTGGCGGTGGCTTACTGTATATATATTATAATATATTGTCGGCGCGCTGGTAATAAAACCGCAAATCGGTCTCGTGCATCGACCGTACATTATGTGTATTTTTTTTTATTTTTTTTATTTATTTATTTATACGGACAAAAGTCCAATTTACAATATATTTGTATAGATAACAATAATATAATATAATTTAAAATAATAAAATATAACATAATAAAAGATGAAACGATTAATATATAGAATAATAGTAATAATAATTAATAATAATAATAATAATAATAGTAATAATAATAATAATAATGATTATAATAATAATAATAATAATAATAGAAATACATTCAATGTTTATTAAAATAATTTACTATTTCCCGAAGACATTAAAATATTTATGGAGTCGTATGACGTATACTTTTTAGATGAACGAGGAATATAAAATAAATGATTGTTGCGAGTGTAGTGGTTTTTGACTTTGAAATTTAATTTACTTAATAAAAATGAATCATCAATCTTGTTATTTAGCAATTTGGTGAGATAGGTGTTGTATGATAAGTGTCTACGTACATTTAAAGGTTCTAAGTTTAACAATTTTAAAATATTTTCGTAACCAGAGTGAGGAGTTCTTTGAATATTACATTTATGACCTATAAATCTGAGAGCTTTATTTTGAACTTTTTCAAGTTGATCATTATGTCTTACATTGTTGTGGTCCCAAATTAATGGAGCGTATTCTAATAAAGAACGGACTAGTGAGGTATATAGGCACTTGAAAGTAAGTGGATCATGAAAATCGGAACAGTTTCTTTTTATCATACCAAATACAGCTAAAGCTTTATTTTTAATCGCTGATACATGAGCATTGAATAATAGCTTGGAATCAAATAAAATTCCTAAATCTTTAAACAATGACGAACGATGTAAGGCAATGTCACATATATGGTAATTAAAATGCAAGGGATTGTGCTTTTTGGAGTAAGTAACAATTTGGCATTTGTCAATATTTAATGAAAGGCTATTTGAAATGCACCATTCGTTAAATGAAGCTAAATCACTTTGAAGAAGATTAATATTATCGGGGGAAGTAATTGATTTGTAAATTTTTGCATCGTCGGCAAATAATAAAATGTTGGAGTATGTAATGGAGGATACAGCATCATTTATAAATAAATTAAATAGGAGAGGGGAAAGGTGATCGCCTTGAGGTACTCCAGAAATTACGTTTATAGGTGTTGATATAAAACTTTTATATTTGACAAATTGGATTCTTTGACTTAGGAAAGAGTTAAACCATGATAGTAGGGGATTGGCAAAGCCGATTTCCTGTAGTTTATTGATTAATAGAACGTGGTTTACTCTATCAAAGGCTTTTTCAAAATCAGTATAAACAACATCTGTTTGTTGATTATTAGAAAATGATTGTATTATATGATGTTTAATAGTTATTAAATTAGTAAGACATGATTTATTATTGCGAAATCCATGTTGTTGTGGTGCTAAAATATTTTTAAATATGGGCGTAAGCTTATCATTTATTATCTTGGAAAGTATTTTTGGGAAAATAGAAATTATTGATATGGGACGGTAGTTTGAGATAAATGATTTGTTACCTTTTTTGAGAATTGGATTAATATATGTGGATTTCCAAGATGATGGAAATGAGCCACTATTTAAACAAAAATTAAAGAGATATGTGATAGGTGGTGAAAGTATTGTAGGCATACCTGTATAATACTAGCTACATAATGTGCATGCACTTATTGTATACGATTTGTTGGCTCCGAATCGTCCGCTAATAATAATTATGTGCGTATTTAATACGCGCGTATCGTGCGTCGCAATCGCTCGTTTTGGCATCGTGATTTTGTGATTTGTTTGGTTATTTTCTTTCCAAATGTGACTTTCGTATTGATATATTATACACATATAATATATATACATAATACATAACAATAATAATATGTACCCTGTATGGGGTACCCTTAGGATATTTCGTCCTATTTACAAGCACCAAATATACGAAAACTGATGGCACACATCTGTTTTTTTCGCGGCGTCGTCGTAAGAGTATATATATATACGATAGCTGTATATCGACTACGTTATATACCTAACCTTACCTATAAATTTGCATCATTCTATTATAATTAGGCGTATAAAAATATTATAACGAATATTATATTATTATAATTGTACAACTCGGGTCGAAAAGATTACATTCGCTGATGTAAGATCAATTATCATATATAGCCACTTAGGTACTATATATTATCGACGTTGTATACAACTTGTACGTCGAGATTATGACGTAGTAACTGTATACGAATCATAACACTCGAAACGCATTCGTACATAACATTGGTACGAGTATGGAATATAATATTATAATACGCGTATGCACACATACGAGGGATTGGTCGTATACATTCGTACCTATGCTATATATTATTATTAGGGAACGGATTTTAATTTAGTATACAATTAAAAATATTTAAATATATATTTGTTTATTACTTAATAAATATTTATTTATAAATGTATAATATTTAAATATTTAAATTGAAAATAACATAGAATTATTAAATAATTAATTAAAAATTTAAAAAAATTAAAAATCTATTCTGATTCATCATAGTCTTCATGTGGGAAACAGTTAGAAACAACATATAGCTTGAAATTTTCAAATGTAAAGTGGCGGCGGTTCGGTCTTAACATTGCTTTGCAACGGCTGAATGACCTCTCCACATCAACGGACGTGACAGGTGCATATTTCATACACATTATTTCTTTTGGAGTGTATTCAATTTCTGAATATTTGTTACTTGGAGTGTATGTCTCTTATTGACATTACAGTATTAAAACCTGTGTTTTTTTCCAATACATTTTTTAATTTTGAATTGGTCAAAACTCCAATTTCTCCAGGAACCCGTTCTAATTGCTTTATGGCATTATCAACTATTTCTAAGTTCTCCGTTAGTGGCATTTTAGAAGTTTCTAATTTTGAAATAGTATCAACCAAAAATCCAAAATTAGTCGAAATAAATGCTAAATTGTTTTGCAAATTTTTACTGTCTATGAGCTCAACAGTTTTTTTTATTGCTATTGCAGCTTCGGGATCTAAATTTAAGACAACGTTTCTAATCTTTTCAAAGTTATTTGAATA